CCAATCCTTAGATACAGCAAAGGGCTCAGCTGGGAGTATGCCTTTGATATGCAAACTGCCTAACCAAAAACCATCTCTCCTCTATGCGGTCCCTGCACCCTAGGAGGCAACATTCCTCCGACTTAGTCAACCAATGGTCAGGTACCAGGCAATTGGAGACACTCTACAGCTTAGGGCCTGCTGAAATTATTCAAACTAGCCAGTCCTAAACTGTTCATCCTGCCCTGCCTTGCCCTTCTTGTGGAAACCCCAAAAAGCCTCTGGCTAAATCTTCCTCTTGCTCCTGTCTTCTGCCTCCTGACCGCCTGTGTCTTCCCCACGCGCTCCCTGGCCAGTTGTCTCTAGACCTGTGAGTATAACATACTTTGTTTTCCCCACCCTCTCTCCTGTATCTCCTCTTGTGACAACACTGGCCTGATCATGGCATAAAAGAATACAAAACAAAGGTGAAATAGGGTTCTGTGATGGAGTAACAAGAGTAGTTTCCTTAGATGGTCACGAAAGACTTGGCTGAAGAGGTAGTATTTGACCCGGAGCCTGAATGGTAAGATAGAGGCAACCTTAAGACAACCTGAAAGTCAAGTTTACAGAACAAAAGGGACTCTAAGTACAAGAGTCCTGAGCAAGAAACAAACTTAGAGTGTTCAAGGGACAGCAAGGAGGTGAGTGTGGTTGAAGCACAAGGATCGATCCCCCTGAAGCAGGAGACCACCATTTTATGCCTGGTCACCACCACGCACAAAGACTGAACCCTAGTGTGAGGCAGAGGGGAGCAGGGCAGAGGGGCCATATTATAGGTTCTTGTAGGCCATGGTAAGGATTTTGTGTTTTATTCTGGTTGTGGTGAGAAGCTTCTGACTTCAAGTTTGAAGCAAGGGAGTGACGTCATCTATGTGATGATCTAGAACAACTGCTCTAGTTACAAGGCGAAGGATGGACAGGACGGCAGGAGAAGATCAGTGAGGAAGCCTGACAGATTCTCCAAAAGGACAGAAAGTCAAGGTAGCTGATGATTATGATGAGGAGGGCAGTTGGGCTTAGGACTGGAGTCAAAGGGCAGTTTTGCCAAAATGGCAGAAGTAGAAGTCTTGAATGTTGCATCAGAAATGTGATGCTCAGGCCGGGCGCGGTGGCTCAAGCCTGTAATCCCAGCACTTTGGGAGGCCGAGGTGGGTGGATCACAAGGTCAAGAGATCGAGACCATCCTGGTCAACATGGTGAAACCCTGTCTCTACTAAAAATACAAAAATTAGCTGGGCACGGTGGTGCGTGCCTGTAATCCCAGCTACTCAGGAGGCTGAGCCAGGAGAATTGCCTGAACCCGGGAGGCAGAGGTTCTGGTGAGCCAAGATCACGCCATTGCACTCCAGCTTGGGTAACAAGAGTGAAACTCCATCTCAAATAAATAAAAGGAAATGTGATACTCATTTTGTTTTCTTTATCAGAGACAGAGTCTCTCTCTGTTGCCCAGGCTGGAGTGCAATGGCTCACTGCAACCTCCGCCTCCTTAGTTTGAGCGATTTTCCTGCCTAGCCTCCTGAGTAGCTGATAAAAGGCACCCACCACCACGTCCCACTAATTTTTGTGTTTTTAGTAGAGATGGGGTTTCACCATGTTGATCAGGCAGGTCTTGAACCCCTAACCTCAGATGATCCACCCACCTCGGCCTCCCAGAGTGCTGGGATTGCTCATTTTCAATCTCAGCAGCTCATTCACAGATCACACATAGAAATTTGTCACTCACCCCTAAGCCTTCTTTGTCTATCTTAGAGATCCCTGGATGCAAGAAACTGTAAGATTATTTGATATATTTTCTCTGTCTCACCCTAACAGCCTCTTTCTAGTATGTGTTTTAATAGACTGCATTTTTTTGAAGCATTTTTTTTAGACCAAGGGTTAAGAGAGAGGGAGGAATGAAAAAGTGGAGCATGATGGATTTTTAGGGCAGTAAAACTACTCTGCATGGTACTATAATGTTGGATACACATCACTACCATGCATCAAATGTACAACACCAAGACTGAACTCCAGTATGAAATATGGACTCAGGCTAACAATGATGTGTCAATGTAGGTTTATCAATTGTGACAAATGTACCACTTTTGGGCTGGGAGTGGTGATTCATGCCTGTAATCCCAGGACTTTGGGAGACTGAGGTGGGTGGATCACCTTAGGTCAGGAGTTCAAGACCAGCCTGGGCAACATGGAGAAACCCCATCTCTACTAAAAATACAAGCATATTAGCTGGGCATGGTGGCAGGCGCTTGTAATCCCAGCTACTCAGGAGCCTGAGGCAGGAGAATCACTTGAACCTTGGAGGTGGAGGTATCAGTGAGCCAAGACGGTGCCATTGCACTCTAGCCTGGGCTACAGAGCGAGACTCCGTCTCAAAAAAAAAAAGAAGTACCACTTTGGGTTCGGTGTTGATAATGGGGGAGGCTGTGTATGTGTAGGGGTGGGGCATGTAGGAAATGTCTGTAGCTTTCTCTCAATTTTGCTGTAAATCTTACGAGTATTTTAATGTCAAATCCTTAAGAGCTTATCTATTTCTTGTCACTAGCAGTGGGTTCTGTTCTTGATGTTCCATCCAGAGTGGCAGTGATGATAACATCCCACAGTATTTTATGAGCCAGAGAACATTAAAAGAGTACATTTTCTCCTGGAAGGCCACCAGCTTGGAAGCTGCAGGTCAAACAGCTGAGAGTGAACAGCCTTGTTAGGACACATTTTTAAGTGTATACCAAATGTCCACAGGGGATTTTTAGACTTAAAAAGGGAGCTAAAGAAGAGTTTTGTTCTTTTTATTTTCTGATTTTTAATATTATATAGACATTTTTCTCATTTAAAGAATGTGTGTGTATTTTTAAAGGGAAGGTACTCTTGATTCTATCCATTTAAGAAAATATTAATCTCCATGGAGAAGAAATTTCCTATATTTTAAAATTTATTGTGTATATATATTCCATATACACTCTATAAATAAAAATCACAGTGGCCAGGCTTGGTGGCTTACACTTGTAATCCCAAGACTTTGGGAGGCTGAGGTGGGCAGATCACCTGAGGTCAGGAATTAGAGACCAGCCTGTCTCTACTGAAAATACAAAAATTATCTGGGTGTGATGGCAGGTGCCCGTAGTTCCAGCTACTTGGGAGGCTGAGGCAGGAAAATCACTTGAACCCAGGAGGGGGAGGCTGCAGCGAGCAAAGATCACGCCACTGCACTCCAGCCTGGGAGACAAAGTAAGACTCTGTCTCAAGAAAAATAATAAATAAATAAATAATGAAAAGTACACACTATCATAAAGATGATGATGGTAAAAATAATAATTAAAATAGTAAATAAATACATATATAATAGCACAGAAGTGTTTATAGTAAAAATTATGTCTCCCTCCAGCCCTCACCCTCCAATCACTCTTTCAGGAGGCACCCACTGTTCCCAGCTACAAAGCTTTCAGAGATATTTTATTTATATAAGCAAATACATACTTAAAAAAAAAAAAAGTATAAATAAGGCCCAGTGCAAGGGCTCCAGTTTGTAATTCCAGCACTTTGGGAGGATGAGGTGGAAGGATCCCTTCAGGCCAGGAATTCAAGACCAGCCTGGGCAACATAACAAGACCCTTGTGTCTACAAAAAAAAAAAAAAAAAATCAAAAAAACAAACAGGCATGCTGGCATGGTTCTATAGTCCCAGCTACTCAGGAAGCTGAGAGTGAGGGATTTCTTGAGCCCAGATCTTTGAGGCTGTCACCCACTCTAGCATGGGTGACAAAGCGACAAAGCAAGATTCTGGCTCAAGGGAAAAAAAAGGTATAAATAGTCGTATATTATATACTGCTCTGGAATACTTTTTGGTTTAACATATCTTGGAGATTCTTCCACAGCTGTGGATAAAGAGTTGCCTCATTCTTTTTCAGGGGAAGTTTAGTATAAAGGGTGATGTAGTCGGGAAATTATGTGTAATTTATTTTTGCCAACTCAGTAGCAGAGCACTGGCAAGATTAATCCTTAGAATTTTGGACGTTAATATCAAATTGTTCAAAGCTTTGACATTTTTCTCTTCCTTGTGGCTCTATTTTCATCACTGAGATTCCCCATCCTATGCCCCTCTGGGCCCCATCTGACATTTGTCACTTCTCTAGCTTAGTTATCTAATCTCATCTTGATGAGTCAGATGAAATAAACCCAGATAATGTGTCTCACATGCTCCTTAGGCCCCAAAGCCTAAAAGATAAAATAAAGGGAAATGTGTAGGACAGAGCACTGAGAGTTTGTTGAATGTTTGAGATTTGAATTCGTGTGTGTTAATTCTTCCTCAATTACAGCTAGATTCTGCCCTCTCCAGCTTTGTATCTGCAGACTAGGGGAAATATGATCCCAACTCATATTATGAGAGCACATCTCTGACAGTTCTAAGAGGTCCTATTCCCTTAGATTACCAAATTTCACAGGGAGAAAGCACTCACCCATATATATATATATATATATATATATATATATATATATATATTTTTTTTTTTTTTTTTTCTTTTTTTTGAGATGGAGTCTCACTCTACTGCCCAGGCTAGAGTGCAATGGCGCGATGTTGGCTTACTGCAACCTTCACCTCCCAGGTTTAAGCGATTCTTCTACCTCAACCTCCCAAGTAGCTGGGATTACAGGCATGAGCCACCATGCCCAGCTAATTTTTGTGTTTTTAGTAGAGACGGGCTTTCACCATGTTGGTCAGGCTGGTCTTGAACTCCTGACCTCAAGGGATCCATCTGCCTCTGCCTCCCAAAGGGCTGGGATTAGAGTCATGAGCCACAGCCCCTGGCCTCACCCAGATATTTTTCAAATACCGTTTAAATTCCCATTCTCTTTTTTTCTTGAAGTAAGCAAGGCAGACACATTTGCCAAGGATAACTGAGAATGTAAGGGCAATCCATGACTGGGCAGCTTGTGCGGGCTGTGTGCTAAATGCAACTGGGAAACATGCCCTATAAATAGCCGTTCATTGTCAGCCTGTGTGAAAAGACAAGAGAGCATGCCATGCTGTGTGATTCAAGCCGAATTAAGTGGCTGCGTCTGGGCAGGGCTTAAACCACTAGCTGCTTCCACTGATAATCCAGTCAGTAGGCAACTGCGGGGGTTCGCTGCTGAGGGAAGGTTGACTGAAGGAGGCTGTTCAATGTTCTTTTTACCTTCACTATGGCAAAAATCATTTTGAGGCACCTCATAGAGATTCCAGTACGTTACCAGGAGGAGTTTGAAGCTCGAGGTCTGGAAGACTGCAGGCTGGATCATGCTTTATATGCACTGCCTGGGCCAACCATCGTGGACCTGAGGAAAACCAGGGCAGCACAGTCCTCTCCGGTGGACTCAGCGGCAGAGACACTACCCCGAGAAGGCAAATCCCGCTTTCAGATCCTGCTGGACGTGGTCCAGTTCCTCCCTGAAGACATCATCATTCAGACCTTTGAAGGCTGGCTGCTCATAAAAGCGCAACACGGAACCAGAATGGACGAGCACGGTTTTATCTCAAGAAGCTTCACCCGGCAGTACAAGCTGCCAGATGGTGTGGAAACGAAGGATTTGTCTGCAGTCCTCTGTCACGATGGAATTTTGGTGGTGGAAGTGAAGGATCCAGTTGGGACTGAGTGACCGTATCGGTTCCTGTTCAGACGACCCGGGGAAGATGATTGTTTAGCCGCTGGCACCACAAGAATGTTTGATATTGCCCACATTTGAAATGATTGACTATGATTTTTATGAAGATGAAAAATACATACACAGTTCCTGGTACATTGCGGTTGTCTTTATTATTCCTACTTAGTAATGAGAATTGGTAAATATGTTTGTGTGGCTCAAACTGATACTATTCTTACAACTGAAGTGTTGAAAATTTAGGAGACTGTATTTGGATATTAGAGAGGACTCAGATTTGTTTCTTATTATTTCAACAGTGCTAGCTGCATTTGTAATCACTGATGGCAGAAGAGCCGTAGTCATTTAAGGAACTCCTATCCATGTAACAAAAATCTTTTACATTGCCAAAGAATTGTGATTCCCTTCACTTGATAAGCTTTTCTTTTTAGTGTGTTTTCATTAAAGTGACATTTTATAAATATGGAGTCCAAAAATTAAAATACAGTATTTGGGAATTGGGTCTGAAATCTATTTATGATTTAGTATAGTGGTCTTAAACGTCAACGGGAATTTTCAGATATAAATTTCATTTTTAAAAAGTTCAAATATGTACCTCACTCATCTTTTTAAAGCTATAATGAATCCTGTCTGAAATGTTTTGACTTTTTAAAAATAGTATAAGTTTTATGGACATGTACAAAATATTCCTAAGATATGTATTAACATATCTTCTTGTAAATTAATATGCAGCTTTAGGACACCACTTTTGAAAGTCTGATTACTGAATTTGGTGAGTTTTAATCCGTGCTTTTTAGATGATCCGTAAACGTAGATGGCAAATTATAACACATCTGCTACCTCTGCACAATCCTTAGCTTTAAATAGCCAGGCACGCAGTGGAAGTTCTACACCTGAGCTTACACTGTGTGTTTGAGTTCACACCGCACATCTGATGATTGTGCTTATTATCTTCTCTCAAGGTTGAGACATTGGTAGAGCTTAAGGACTAGTGCCTTCAACGGCTGCTCTGGGACATTCCAAAGGTTTGCTATCTCATTCTGTATATACTATTTCTTCAGAGGCAGTGGCTGCCTGCCTTTTACCCCACACTGAATGTGAGCTGACAAGAAGCCCGAGGACAGTGCTAAGAATAGATGCAGAATGCAGGGTGTGGAAAATACCAGGGCAAATGCAGATTGCTGACAGTGTCCCAGTGCCCCTGCATGCTGTTTTATTGTAGTTCAAGTTAAAATGTAAAAGGCATGAAGCAATAGAAAAACAATCAGATAGTTCTAAAAGTTATTTCGAAAACAAATGTAATATGAGAAGGATGTTCGTTTACTGTCTAATTAAATTGAAAAGATTTTGCAGTTATATGCATATTTGAGGTTTATACCTATACACAGAGGTTTGTGTGTCCAACTCAGATATGAAAAATCTTGTCTGATGAAGAGAATATCACAGATCAGCTTGGCTGCATAACAAAGTTAATAGCAATCATTGAGATTCCAGATTTACTAATATGATCAGAACTGGGATACCATTTGTCTCATACTGGATTATCATTCCCTCCCACTGACTGGCAGAATGGTGTGAAAAGAAACTGATGCATTGAGAAAGAAACAAAAACCCTCTCTTTTGGCCTTGATCTTACTCTAGATGAGATCATCCTGGGAAAATTCAGGAGGTGAAATTCTTACCATGAGGAGGCACTGATAGAAAATATTTCCTTTAAAAAATAAAATCAAAGTAAGCACATTTCTAACGAGCCCTTGTTTTTTTCCCAAAGATAAATTTTCAAGTCTTACAGCCATTTTTTTTTGATTTGGGAAATATACCAAACACTATAAATAATAAAAATCATCTATTTTTCTTCTGCTACCATGAGGGGCTATTTTAAATATGTTGTTCAGCCATCTCCTACATAGATGCATGTATCACTTCACAGAATTAGGATTCTGTCTGCATGGAGTTTGATATCCTGATTGTCTGTTGCCCTCCCCACTCCCACCAACTCAAACCATTCTCTGCCCTTCTCAGCCCCTCTCTGAGACCAAATAGGCTGACTCTGATGGGCCACATCATTCTAGTTCCCAGTTGGGTTCAGCCAATAAGAAACACTGACTGGAGACCAGAAATTGCAGAGAGATTAGTAGGCAAGTGGGAGGAAGGTCAGGGAATTTTTCCGTCACCCCTAACCTGCTGCAGACTGAGGCTGTGTCGGGCCTGCATCCTTCAGTGACTGGACTCCTCCAAGGCTGCCTCTCTCACAGGGCTCAGGGGCGTAACACTCTTTTCCTTTTGTCTGTTCAAAAGGAGGAGGAGGTATGACTCTTTGCTCTTTCTCGTACCTTGTGTGTCACTATCCCTGATGGATTCTCCTTACTTTGTTCACTCTCTCATAAATGGTCCTTTAGGCAATGGAGTTGTTTTCTGCCAGAACTCTGATTGACCTTTTAATTGATTGCAGTAGAAAGACCCAGTATGGTAGATGTACCTGAATGTCTGTTTCAAGCTAGGGAATCTGTGCATGGCCCACCTAGAGATTTGATTTTTACCTGTGGTAAACATCTGAGCCCCCAGCCTGTGCCATGGAATATGGGCTGTACAGGAGATTGAGGCCTTGAGTTTCGGGTTAAATGATGTTTGCTAGGTGGAGTTCTTTAGACTTAGGGTGTTAAGTGAGAATGCTATATCAACTGCATGATGTTTGCAAGTGGCTGCGTTCTCCTGGCCAGCCTGCCACTACTCGACTCTCTTTATTAACGGCACATTTCATCTGCTGGCTCTGGGTCTCTTCTTTGGCCTCTTGAATCTGGTGCTTTCCCTATTTGGGTTGGCAGGGATTTGCTACAATAGTGACTTTTTAAAAAATTAATGCATCGCTTTCTTTTGCTACGAGATAATAACTGATTTGTAACGGCTATTCACTATTCCAACATAGCTCAATTGTATTAGCATTTAACCATTTCTTTTCACTCTTGGTTCAAATAGGAAACAGTTGGACACTCTCAAATTGAAAAAATTCAAGAAGGGTTTATTTATAGACATTACAAGCTGGGCATGGTTGCTCACGCCTGTAATCCCATCACTTTGGGAGGCCACAGTGGGTGGATCACTTCAGGTCAGGAGTTCAAGACCAGCTTGACCAACGTGGTGAAACCTGGTCTCCATTAAAAATACAAAAACTAACCAGCATGGTGGCACGTGCCTGTAGTCCCAGTTACTTGGGAGGGTGAGGCAGGAAATTCGCTTGAATCTTGAAGTCAGAGGTTGCAGTGAGCTGAGATGGCAACAGTGCATTCCAGCCTGAGTAAAAGCCAGATTCCATCTCAAAAAAAAAAGACCGAAAGGGAGATTGAGAGAGGGGGAGAGAGAGAGAGAGAGAGAGAGAGATATCACACAGGAGAGGGAGGGTGTAGAGGCACTGCAAAGGAAAGTACAGTCATCTGAAGTGCAGCGTGGAGTTCTTATGTCCCCCAGGTCCAAAGGGATGGGAGATGGAAGCAAGTCTCAGAAATCAAAAGGAACGTTGCATAGAGGAGACTACCAGCTGTGCCTTTCATTTGAGGGTATGACCAGCCCAAGGAGACCTCTTACCGGGAGGGAGCCAGGAGAACAAATACTTCCTCCTTCCCATCTCCTACTAGGGCCCCCCCATTGGCAGGATCTGACTAGAGGCCAGAGGGCCTGGGAGCCCTGTCGATCTAGTTTAACTGCCTCCCAGGGGAAAGGACAAGATGGAGAAAAGTGAGGGTGACCTCAGGGGCCAGAGGATAATATCCAGCACTCCAATCAAATGAGTCCTATTGTCAGAGTTCTCTGTTAGAAAATCTGTTTCTGCAAGGCAACAAGGATTGAAGAGCTGACACTTTATTTGAGAAGTGCAAGTCCAGGATGGTAAAGATGAAGAAATAGGGGAAATGAGACAAGGAAAAACTGGGAAGCCAAGATGGTGTGATGATGGGATGTGTTACTGTGCCGACCGCCACACCACAGGTGGCTGTGAAGAGGCTCAGCAGGTCCGTGGGCAGGAATGTTGGCTCAGCAGATGGAACCACTCCATGGAGAAGTTCTCTTCAGGGAGAAACTAATCTTAAAGAAGTCCCAGCCGAGTGCCTGTAATCTTAGCACTTTGGGAGGGTGAGGTGGGAGGATCACTTGAGCTCAGGAGTTCCAGAGGAGCCTGGGCAACATGATGAGACCCCATCTCTATAAAAAGAACAAAAATTAGTCTTGAGCGGTGCCTGTAGTCCCAGCTACCCTGAGGGCTGAGGGGGAGGATAGATTGAGCCTGGGAGGTTGAGGCTGCAGGGAGCCATGATCACACCATTGCACCACCATCTAGGCAACAGAGCAAGACCTTGTCTCAAAACCTAAAAACAAACAAGCAAAACAAAACCAAGAAAATTTTTAAAAACCAAAAAAGTCACCCCTACAGAAAAATTAAAGGGAGAGAAGGAATTTGGCATATAACCTCAGAGTTTTCAAAACCCATGATTTCAACTAGTTTAACAAAAATAATTTTACTAATGACCATTGTTCTCCCCAGAGGCTGTCAAATAATTTATTACAAAGAAGCATTAAAATATCGGTTTGGCGCAGCCTTTATATTACATTTTGAAAATAACTTTGTTGAGTGGTTGAGTTGGTTAGTTCCCACCTCCACCTCCCACGCCCTGCAAAATAAGAGAGATAGTAATTTTAATTGAAAAGTAAATGATTTAAACTGATGTTTACATTTCCTGTGTTGTTTAATACACAAGTGTGTGTGTGTGTGTGTGTGTATACAAATGTGATCCTATTTATTAATGTTTTCTAAACTGAAGGAAATACGAAGAATGTGCAATGTCATAAGATCGAATGGTCTATATGATACCATTCTTTGTAATTTGTTGTTCAAATATTCCATGTTCTTTCTATTTTCCCCGATACTAGAAAACATGTAGATTGGTGTCTTCAAATCTCTCAATATAAAAAGGCAGGTTTCCATTTTTTAAAAAAGTTCTGGCTCATTTTTTTCCTTTGCATAACATTGTTATACTTTTTAGTTTGTTATGTAAACTTATAAAACTTACTTAATTATAAGTTTAAAATTGTAATTTCTTTCTATCAAACGGTTTCTTATATTATTATGTAGGCCCTCTTTTTATCCC